TTCCTCTTCCTCCGTGACAGGGGAGGGTGGGAAATATTCTGGTGACTGTCGGGGTGCCTGGTGGTTCTGTGAAGGGTGCCATGGTGCCCCTCCCCACTTACCACCCAGAGTGGAACCGGCTCCAGGGGGCGTGGGGAGCGGGGTGTGCAGGGGGCCTGCCCTCACCACCAGCAGCCCTGGGGGGAGTTAGCAAGTGGCTTCCATCTGTGTAAGTGCTGAAAAAGACACCTTACCACGCACCCGCCACGTGCCATCTGTGGGCCCCCCACGTGTTAAATCGTGCACATTCGAGGAGGGCAGGAGGCAGCTGGCACGATCCTTGGGCTGATGCGCACACACCTCTGCCCTGGCTGGCACCGCTCTTGTTTCTCGTCACCTCCACAAGCACACAGAGGGTGCTGGGGTTGGCTGCCTCCGCTCCAGACATTGGGCAGGTGCTCTGACGGGCACCGACTAGCTGACGAGGTAGTGAGTTCCCCATCCCTGAGGGAGTTCCAGGGAAGACTGGGTGGCCACGCACCAGGTTTCCCGTGGGATTCCTGTATCTAGACAGCCTCTGCTTTCTCCCCACAGGGGCCTTGCTACTCTGAGCTGGGTGGCCAGATGGGTGGCTTGAGCCAAAAGGCCAGGCAGGGTGGGCAGACCTGTGGGGAGCCCTCCCCTCTCCCTCCTGGAGGCCTTTTCTGCACGGGCCCCTGAGCCCCGCCCTTCCCCTGCTCCCCAGCCGTGAGCGAGTTCTTCAGCGCCAGCTGCGTTCCCGTGAACAACCCCGGGCGCTACCCGTCTTCGCTGTGTGCGCTCTGCGTGGGGGACGAGCAGGGCCGCAACAAGTGTGTGGGCAACAGCCAGGAGAGGTACTTCGGCTACAGCGGCGCCTTCAGGTACTCTGGGGGACCTGGCAGGGGGCCTGGGGCCGGGCACAGGGCTGGCACCCTCCTGCTGACACCCGCTTTGGCCTCTTGCGTGGCAGGTGCCTGGCTGAGAGCGCGGGGGACGTCGCCTTTGTCAAGCACACGACTGTCTTTGACAACACAGATGGTACATGATGGGGGCTGGGAAAGCCCGTTTTGGGGGGCTGTTCCCCATCCCCAGCACAATCCAGGCACCAGGTGTTGCTGGGATTGGGGACCAAGCAGCAACAGGAGAGACGGAGTTGAGAAGTCTCTGGCCCTTGGGGATCCCGGGGCCCCAGAGCCTCGTGGTTAGAACAGACCTCTGGCCACACATCCGGGACACAGGGCACACGGCTGTCTTTACGGGTCCAGAGTCCAAATCCATGTTCCACCAAAATGGTAGATATTCAGTCTCACTCAGGGACCAGGAATCTCCCAGGGTGGAGCGACCGGGGTGTCTGTGTGGTGCCAAGGGGTGGGGTGGTGTGGGTGGGGTGGCAGGGGCCTCTCTCCAGGGGCATCAGTTCACAGCAGCTTCTGGTCTTTAGTCCCGAGCAGGTCAATGCCGGGTGCAGGGAAGCCAGGCTGCAGCCCCAGCCCGAGAGGCAGGGCCCACCCCCTTTAGGGTACACCCCGTTCAGGGCCCACCCCGCTCAGGGCCCACCCCGTTCAGGGCACATGGCAGCTTTTCCTCCAGAGTCACCTTTCTGGGTTTCTTCTGGGGAAAGGAGCTCAGGGCCTCTGTGCTCTAGGACTCCTGAGGCCACCGGGGTCCTGTCAGGGTGCAGGGCCCCTCACATGCACCACGCCCCTCCCCTTCCTGCGCTCCCTCCGGCAGGGAATCTTTTCATCTGAAAACTGGAGGCCGTTTCCCTCTAACACCCCTCGTTTGCACTGTCTGTAGACCCTGCTACACCCAGGCTTTGGACCCCACACACTCCCACTCTCTCCTGACACATCTCTGTGTGGAAACTCAGTGTAGAAAAAGCATGATGAGTCCTGAAGGGGAGGCGGAGGTGGGTGGAGGGAAAGCAAGACATGCAGGGAGAACAGCAGTTCATATTTCAGAACTCAGACCCGCCTGCCTGTGAAGGTCACCGCGGCTGCAGACCAGTTGCCCCAAAGAGCTGAGAAGGGCTCCCGGCCCTGTTGCCACAGCCCCTCACCCCTGCCAACCTCCACCAGGAGCCTGGGGCTCATCCCGGGAGGGCGGGTGGAATGTCCTGCAGGCTCCTGGGAGCCTTCCTGGTCCTGACCCCCCCGCCCCCGCCCCTGCCCTCTGGGGTCAGGGAGGCCTTCCCAGAACCACCTGCAGTGAACACCGCCTTCCAGGGCTGCTCATTTCCCTTTTCTGTTGTTTTTGTGTATTGTTTTGGTTGGTTGGTTGATCTTCACAGATGATATTTTTCCATTGATTTTAGATAGAGGGGAAAGAATTTCTCTCTCTCTCTCTCTCTCTCTCTCATTTGATCCTGGGGCTCATCCTGGGAGGAGGGGTGGAGTCACTACAGAAGTGATGACCCCCAAGGGCACTGTTTTTCTCTCTCTCATTTGAGAGAGACAGAGAGAGAGAGAAACATCGACGTCAGAGAGACACATCGGTTGCTTGCCTCCCTCACGCGCCCTCAACCGAGCATTGACCCTGCAACCCGGTACGTGCCCTTGATCAGGAACTGAACCTGCGGCCCTTCGTGTGCAGGCTGGGGCTCTAGCCCCTTAGCGACCCTGGCCAGGGCTCCTTTTTCCTTTCTCGTTTTTTGTCTCTGCTCATGGGCCCGCCCGATGTTCCTTCAGGAAGTGGGCGAGGGTGGGCGCCAAGTGAAGACACGCAGACACAGAAGTGATGACCCCCAAGGGCACTGTTTCTCGCAAGCCTTTGGGCCAACCTGCTTCAGAATCACGGGGGCTGCTTTAAAGCCTGGGGTCCTGGCCCCCCAGACGTACCAAACGAGGGAGACTCTCTGCAGGTGGGGCCCTTGGAACAGCCTCTCACGGGTCCACACAGGATGCTCTACCCCATCTGGTTTGAGAACGCCAGCTCTCAGGGGAGGAGGTCAACCTCCACCTTCAGACACGCATCCCACCCTCAGGCCTGCGCCCTGGGAGACCCGATGGGGTGCTTTGCCTGAGAGTGATCAGAGCCTCCGTTCTTCACCCCCAGAATGGGGGGGGGGGGCTGCCTGCCTCGTTACTCTCGTGAGGAGATAGAGCAGTGCTTGAGAAACGCCTGTCGCCGAGTAGGCACTCCCTATTCCCTGTCACCCGTGGCTCCTACCAACACTGCACCCAGCGGGCTCTCTCATCCTGGCAATAGGAGACCAATTAGAGAATGGGGGGTTCTGGGAGCAGGGCAGACACTGCCACCTCTCCCCAGCCAGGGATTTGGGGGTCCAGGAGGACAGCAGCCTCTCCCCTCCCTCCCCTCAGGCCACAATTCGGAGCCCTGGGCTGCTGAGCTCCGGTCGGAGGACTATGAGCTGCTGTGTCCCAATGGGGCCCGGGCTGAGGTATTTCAGTTCAAAGACTGCAACCTGGCACAGATGCCGGCCCACGCCGTCATGGTGCGGCCAGACACCAACGTCTTTGCCGTGTATGGACTGCTGGACAAGGCCCAGGTGAGCCAGGCGGGGCCCACGTCATTGTGGGGTGGCTGGGAGGGGAGCCGAGCCCCCGGCACTCCGCAGTCTGCATGGAGCAGACCTCAGGAGACACTGAGGCTGCGGGGGGCGGGGGTTCAGTGATTTTTCACTCAGCCTAGGACCTCCCTCCAACCACTCTCCCCTCTGTCTCCTGCATTATTAATTTGCCCTTCTCAGCTGGACCACTCTCACGCTGCTATTTCTACCATCTTTAAAAAGAAACAAAAAACCTCTCTTGGTCTCACATCCCTTTGTAGCCATAATCCCACTGCCCTTTACAGCAAAACTCCTTCAAAGAGTTGTCTCTGCTCTGGAGCCACCAGTCCTCCCCTTCTGGGCTCCCTTAAGGGCGGAGACGAGTCCACACCAGCCCCCACCCGGCCCGGAACCGCCCTGGTCGAGGGCACAGGGACCCAGGCATCTCCCTGACCTCTCCACAGCACTGGGCGCAGCTCCCTCGTCCTGGAGCCTCCCCCGCGCCCTGGCCCTGGCCCACACCTGCCTGCCTGGCTGCCCCTCCTGCCAGCCTCCGGTCCCTCCTCGCCTCCCAGGCCTGTGACTGCAGGAGTGCCCCAGGGTTCAATCCTAAACCTCCCCCTGCTGCGCCTGCACCCCTGTGGCCCTCACCCAGTCCGAGGCCGTTAACTTCCATCGATACACCGACGGCTCCTCAGTGTGCATCTTCCGTCCGCTGCCACCCACCCTTCCGCCTCAGACTGGCATCTAGCAACTGCCTACTTGACATTTCAACTGGTGCTTCCCACAAGTCCGAGGCTGGACGCCCTTCCCTCGTCTTCCCACCTGAGCCTCTCTGTTTCCTCGGGAGTCACCTTGGACTCCAGCCTTCCTGTCATGCTCTGCATCCAACCCATCAGCAAGTCCTGGTGGCTGCACTTTCAAAGCACATCTAGAATTTCACCCAGGCTGTCTGACAACAGGGTCCTAAACCACCCCTTCCCTCCCCCCCCAAACTCTCTGACATGCCCTGGGGGACGGACCCTGTTTGGATGTGCATTATTCTAGGGAGAAGGCTGAGCACTTTCATCAGATCCTCAAGAGCAGTGGTTCTCAACCTGTGGGTCGCGACCTCTTTGGAGGTCAAACGACCTTTTCACGGGGTCGCCTAAGACCATCAGAAAACACATATATCATTACATATTGTTTTGTGATTAATCACTATGCTTTAATTACGTTCAATTTGTAACAATGAAATTGGGGGTCACCACAACATGAGGAACTGTATTAAAGGGTCGCGGCGTTAGGAAGGTTGAGAACCACTGCTCAAGGGGCTCCTTGAGTCCCCCAGGAAAGACTGATAGCCACTCCACTCCTCCCTGTGGCAGCTTCCTCACACCTCACTCCACCCCTTCTGATGCCGGTGGCGGGGAAGCTGCCAGCCTGAGATTCCAGGCCTAGGCCTGGTGCCCTGCTAGCCCTGCTCCCTGGCTTGCTTCCCGGGGGGCAGTGACAGCAGCGGCCACTGGCTGGCCCGTTTTGGGCCCAGATAAAAAGCTGGCCTGCGTGTGGCACTTCCAGGGCCTGTTTGGAGATGACCACAATAAGAATGGGTTCAAAATGTTCGACTCCTCCGACTATCATGGCCAAGATCTGCTTTTCAAGGACGCCACCATCCGGGCGGAGCCCGTGGGGCAGAGAACCACCTACCTCGAGTGGCTGGGCCCCGACTACGTGGCGGCTCTGGAAGGGATGCTGGCGCAGCAGTGCTCGCGTGCAGGTAGGGCCGGGGCTGCGGGGCAGCTGGGAAAGCCCTGGACGGGCAGGTGCACAGCCCACAGAGGAAGAGCAGGCGTCCTGCCATGTTGCCCTGCATCTTCCCGAGCCTGTCACCTGAACCTTAAGTGAACTCAAGGGCGCGCTAGGTCGCTACAGATGATCAAGGTGAAGTGTGTGTGGGGGGTGCGGAGGAGGGATCTGAACAGGCGGCTGCAGAGAGTTGCAGCAGAAACGGGCTGTGTCGCCCAGACAGACCTGGATAATGAATAGAAAGGCTAAAAATAACCTTCAGAAAGGATGAGGCAACTACATAAATATACAGGCGCTATCATTTTGAAAGGAATGAATATGTAAAAAAAAAAAAATGGGAAAAATTGTAGCAGCATAGAAAGAGGCGGCCGGTGAGCTGAGTGCGAGGAAATGTGCGCCATCAAGTCCAGCCGAGGTGCCGGGGGCCTAACGCCTGCGCTTCATCCCCAGGCCTCACTGCCTACCCTGGGCGAGCCTCCCTTCCCTTGGAATGGAAACCGACCCAGAAACCTCTATAAATAAGGCTGTTCTCAGTAAACCCAGCGAACACAGCGAGAAACGTGTGATGGGAGCGGAAATGTGAGACACCACGGAGCTCCTCAGAGCTGGGATCCGACACTGAAGTGCCTGTGTGGCTTCCAAGTGGGAAGAGATGGATGTGCAAGAAAAGCCCCCTCCACCTCGCGCTGGACGTGGGCAGGTCTCTCCTGCTGGAACCCAGCCTCTGCCTTCCCCGCACCACCTGTCCCTCTGCACCTGAGGCAGCTGGCCCGCCTCCAGGCCCACCCGCCACTGGCACTGCCGCCCCCAAACCTGCAGCTCCCACCACGGGGGGCCGCACAGGCTTGGGCTTGGAAAAGGCCAGTTACCAAGGAAACAGGCTGAGCCGGACTTCCCACACGGCCCCTCTGCTGGAGCCACCCGGGGGGCTGTGAGATGACAGGGCCTGCTGGGCCCCCCTGCTGGCTCCCACTTCCCCTCTGGAGAAGGACCCTGCCCTCCATCAGCCCCCCGCTCCCCCCATCTGTCCTCAAGACTCGGTCCCAGCCTCCCTCCCGAGGACTCTGTCTGTCCACCACGGCGTCCACCAGATGAGCTGCAGCCAGGCCCTCCACGGGGCCAACACCTCTGGAACCGCAGCCCCCCGTTCTCGTCTTGTGTGGCTCGGTGTGGCCCAGACCACCGGCCCCCCAACTGCTGGGCTGGCGAGGCCAGGGCGGCCGGGGCTGGGCCACTGGGACGGCACCCTCCAGGGCTCCTCAGGCCAAGGAAATGCTCCTTAGTAAGTTTTTTTTAAGAGGCCTGGGGCCCGAGGCAGGGTCAGGGCCTAAAATTCTGCCTGAACATCTGTCTGCTGTAAGGAGGGAGGCTCAGAGCCAGACAACGCTGTTGCCCTGCCATTCGGTGAATTCGGCTGCACCAGGCTCTGCCCTGGGGGGAAGCCCAGTCAGCAGGAGTCCCTCCTCCTGCGTTTCCTCCTCTTTGGCTCCATCTCAGACCACCCCCTTCTCCACCAGCCGTGTGACACCCCCCCCTACCCCTCACCCCCGCGGCCATGCCTGCCCCACCGGGCAGCAGCAGTGGGGTCCAGAGCGAAGGGCTGAGCCTCAGGGCCTGGAGCAGGGGCAGCGGACCTCGGACCTCGGGGGCCTCTGAGGCCTGGGAGTGGGAGGTGCCGTTCTCGTTGTCAGAAGAGCCAGGGCCCTGGGTGACCTGAAGCCGCTCTCCCAGAGGAGGGGCCCCTCTTCCTGTCCCTGTGAGTCGGCGGACGCGCCTGGAGAGGGTCCTCTCTCTGCCCCATTAGTGCCACAGCTGTCTGAGGAGCAGACCCTTCCAGCTCTGCGAGCGCTCATCCTGAATGTTGCTCCCTGAGCAACTAGAGAGAGAGAAGACACAGGAGCAGGCCCCTCGCCGGCAGACCGGGAGCCGCGAGGGCCGGGAGCTACTTCCAGCTCGGTCTGCGGGGTCTCAGAGACACTGATGACAAGCAGGGCCCCCAGTGCTGCACCCCCGCCTGTGGGCGTGGGGTCCCTGCCATCCCTCAGCCGCAAACAGGCCCCTGGCAGCATCCTGGCCATCGCCACACCGTCCTGAGGGTCCTGGCCACCATGCTGGGCAAGGCGCGCCCCCACCACCATGAGGGGCCAGGGGGAGCCCTGCTGCTCTCAAGCTCTGGAGCCTCTCCACTGGGGCAGCAAAGGATTCTTCTCTGACTGATGATGTTTGATTTTTTAAAGGGAGATCCGTGCAGTGAGAGATGTACTTCAGTATGGCTGCCCTGGGTTAGAAAGCCGCCAGCGCGTCGCTCCTACGCGGTGAGCGCCCGAGGGGTGGCCTGAGTGAGTGCGGTGTGGACTGTGAGGCGACGGCAGTGGCCCCACTGTGTTAGTGCCAGAGGAGAGGGTGTGTTTTTAATAAAGCCAAACGTGGGTTCTGATAGAACGTCCTGCTGCTGATTGGTTTGTCTTCTGAGATGGTGGGAGGCCGACCTGCCCCAGGCCACACCCCTGCCCAGATCCAGGCCACACCCCTGCCCAGGTGGCAGTTTCCCCTCAGAGCCCTGTTCCCTGAGAACCGGAATCAGGGTCCAGCCTGGCCTCCAGCCCGTGAGGCCCCCGCTGCCCTCTCTCCTGTGGGCTGGTCCTCAGGCCTCACAGGGCCTCCGTCATCCTGGTGCAGCCCAGCTGCCTCCGCCCCTCAGCCTCTTGGGGTGAACAGAAGAAGATGCACACGTCCCTGCCCCTCCCCTGTGCCCCCACAATCTGCCGCCCACACCTTCCCCTTGGCAAGTTAGCTGCTAACTCACTGGAGGGAGGAAGGGGGTCAGATCTCCGGCAGTCCTCACAGTGGGAGCTCGCGGGCTTGTCCTGGAGTGTGATGGCCAGGCTGGTCTTGGCCAGCGCCCTGCTCTTGCTTGGGGAATGGAGGTTCTCTATGCTCCCCTCCTCCACATCTCCTGCCCTTCACTCTGTCCCCCGGCCACCCATCCTCCCCGGCCGCAGCCATCTCCCAGAGCTGGGGTCACTCCCCTGCACACAGCCATTCCTGGGGGGTTGGCCCAGTCATCCTGGGGCTGGAGACCCGGCAGCAGACGCTGGCGATGGTGTCCCATCCTAAATGCTCAGGGTCAGCCCATCCCTCAGCCCTCCCGGTGCTGCCCTGGCCCCCTTGCGCTTTGGGAGAGTTAACATCCGAGCCCCATCTCCTCGTCTGAAAAGTAAGCAGAACAATAACACCCACTTGCCGAAGTTGTAAAGACCGGATTCTACCGCACATAAAACTCGGCACCGTGCTGACTCCGGGAGCTTGTTTTTGGGGCTTAAGTTTCAAATTTCTGAGCAAAATCATCTGGTTGGCCCATTATGGGCCAGGTGACTCCTATAGGACCAATCAGCTCATGCCGGGGCACAGTGAAAAAGGAAATGAAAGCGCTGTGAGCCAGGCAGCCACCCCAACTGGTGGCTACCAGGCCTGTTCCAGGTGACATTTGGCGTTCATTGAGCAAATACTTATTGATACCTACTGCTAGTACCCCCAAACCTGGACAAGAGGGACCCTGGGCCTGGGTTTTGTGCGTTAGAGCAGTGCTTTCCTAACTTGGGTGTGCACACAAATCCCAAACCTCGCTAGGATGCTGATTGTGGCTGATCTGGAGCGTGGCTGAGAGTAGCAGCTCTACACAGCTCCCAGGTGATGCCCACACTGGGAGGAGCAGCCCTCAGGGGCGTCTGCTGAGGTCCTTCTCTGACCGCACCCCTCCGGACGCAGGAGAGGTCACAGGAAAAGGGACGCATTTATCCAGAGCCCACACCCCATCTTTTTTAAAAAAATGTTTTTACTGATTTCAGCGAGGCAGGGAGAGGGAGAGAGAAAGAGAGAAATATCAATGATGAGAGATCCCACACTGGAGATCGAGCTGCAACCCGGGCATGTGCCCTGACTGGGAATCGAACCATGACCTCCTGGTTCATAGGTTGATGCTCAACCACTGAGCCACACCAGTCGGGCCACACCCCTTCTTGTACACCAGGCTCCTGAGCAGCCCTGAGCCAGCCTCCAGGTCTGGCCAGGCCTCTCCCTTCTCCAGGTCCTGCCTCCCAACGGTGGTCACAGGTGGCTCTTTGCAGGAGATGAACAGGCCGAGGTGTCCACTTGCCACGCACAGGCCCCTCCAAGTCTGGGATGGAGCCTGGACGGGAAGAGGAGGGGTGGGCTATAGGGTGGGAGCCTATTCTCTCTGCACCTTATTCCAGCCTGCCAAGTCTTTATAAAGGTTCATTTGTTAAAGGGGAAGACAAAAAACTTTTTATTTAAGTTTGTTATTTGGTTTGTAACTTTTAAATTTGTAGCCACATGGTAGGTAGGCCTCCGTGGGGACTCTTGCCCTGGGCCCCACCAGTGCTTGGGGTGGGCTGGCCTGCTGTGTGCACAGCTGCCCAGCTCTGCAATCCTGTCCTCAGGGCCCTGAAGACACAGTAAGCTTGAGGCCCACTGCCCCTGACCTTGGTCTCATCTGGAGAGGCCTCTGTGCTGGTGGAAGAAGGGCAGTGAGAAGGGGAGTGACAACCGTGAGGACAGGCAGGTTGGCCGACACAGCACATGGCAGACAGGGCTTCACCCACCTCAGAGTCCTCCCCAGGGCTTTCTGCACATGAGGATGGTTCCTTAGACCCACATTCTTTTAAAAGATTCTCCCAATAGGTATAAATAGTACCTTTTTTTTTTTTTTTTAAGATGTTTCAATTTGGAAAAAAATTGGGTCTCTCACTTAGGATTCAGGAAACTTGAATTCTAGTTCCACTTTTGCTATTCAATTTAGGCAAATACTTTCTACTGTCTCAGCCTCAGTGCCCAAATCTATAAAATTATATCAGTTTCTAGCTCTAAACAGTTATTCTTAGACTCCAAATCTCAGTCTTCACAGTGTTATCACCTGGTCGGCTTGTGGGCTCCTTTTTAGAGTGCTGCCCTTCCCAGCTGCCTTTGGGGTGCCACCCACAGCCCAGACGCTGTTTCAGAGCCTTGGAGCCCTTCCACAACAGTGGTCAGCCAGCAAGCGGGCATCAGAATCCCCTGGAGGGCTGGAAACAGAGGGCTGGGCTCCACCCCAGAGTCTCAGGGGCCGGGCTGGGCCCAAGAATGTGCATTTCTGACCAAGCCTCAGGTGATGCTGATGCTACTGGTCAGGCTGTCTCACTTTGAAGACCGCCGTAAAAGAAAGAGTGAGCTAGCCCTGGCCGGTTTGGCTCAGTGGATAGAGCGTCGGCCTACGGCCTGAAGCGTCCTGGGTTTGATTCCAGTCAAGGGCACATGCCCGGGTTGCAAGCTCGATCCAGTGTGGGGCGTGCAGGAGGCAGCCGATCAATGATTCTCTCTCATCATTGATGTTTCAATCTCTCTCTCTCTCTCCCTTCCTCTCCGAAATCAATAAAAAACATAGATTTTAAAAAAAGAAGCAAAGTGTGAGCTCCACAATAGCAGGACAGATCCTGCCCCAGCGAGGTGGACGGTTTGGGTG